CGGCTGGAGCCGGGCGGCGAGGCGAGGCGCGGCGAGGCAAGGCAAGGCGCGGCGCGGCTGGAGGTCGCGGCCGGGCTTCTCCGCGCGGGGCGGCGGCGCAGGCGGGGCAAGCGGGGCCCGCGGGACGGAGAGGCCGGGAAGGGCCGCCGCACTTTGCGCAGGAAGAGGACGAATCTCGCCCGTCGCCGCTCCGCGTTGCGGGAAGCGGGGCGCCCCAAGACGGAGCGGGCAGCCGGCCGGGGACCCCACCGCTGGCCGCAGGAGCCCCCCCCCCCGGCCCGGGATCCGCGCACACGTGCCTGCGCGCTTGGACGTATCGCGCCGCGGCCCGCGGGACGTGGGGAGGAGCGGAGGATCGGGGCTGCGCGCACGAGGTGAGCCTCTCGGGCCGCGCGGAGCGGGCAGGGCTGCCCGAGCGCTGCGCGGAGGCAGGGCGATCCTGGGCGGGGGAGGGGCGCGCATCTCCCCAGGCTGAGCCCCGCGGAAGAGGAGGCAGGACCGGCCGCCCTCCCGCCCCCATGGCTGCCATCCTGCCGTGGCGCCGGAGCAAGTTCGTCCTGGCCGAGGAGGGTGAGCGGAAGGCGCAGGGGAAGAGCCTGGGCCCCGGCCTGAGCTACGCCTCCCTGCTGTCCAACTTCGTCCGCTCCTGCCCGGACCTGTGGCCGGACTGCCCGCTGGAGCGCCTGGGCAGTGTCTTCCGCAGCAGGCGCCAGAAGGTGGAGCTGAACAAGGAGGATCCCACCTACACCGCCTGGTACCTGGGCAACGCCGTGACACTGCAGGCGAAGGGCGAGGGCTGCACGGACCAGGCCGTGGACAAGATCTGGGCCAAGAGCGAGTTCGGGGCCAGGAGCACCAAGATGAAGCTGACCCTGGGCCCCCACGGCCTCCGCATGAGCCCCGGCGAGAAGGGCGCCCGCCGGCCCAGCCACGCCTACCTGCTGCACCGCATCACCCACTGCGTGGCCGACGGGCGGCACCCCAAGGTCTTTGCGTGGGTCTACCGGCACCAGGTCAAGAACAAGGCGGTGGTGCTGCGCTGCCACGCCGTCCTCTTCTCCAAGGCGGAGAAGGCCCGCGCCGTGGCCCTGCTGCTGTGCCAGACCGCGCACGCGGCCTTCAGCGAGTTCAAGCGCCTGAAGAGGCAGGACGACTCCCGGCACCTCCAGCAGCAGCTCCTGGGGGAGGCCCTCATCCCGCTGGTGCCCCTCCGGAGGCTGCTGAACAGCAAGTGCCCCTACCGGCCTCCGCCGGACAAGAGCCGCAGCGCCCCCCGGCTGAGCTCCATCCAGGAGGAGGAGGAGGAGGAGGAGGCGGGGCAGCAGGAGGCAGGCAGCCGCGACCCCTCCGGGCCCGGCGGCAGCCAGGCTTCTGGTCTTGCCAGCGGCCGCAGGCTCAGAGCCGGCCTGGCTCTCCGCACCAGCAGCGAGCCCGGGGCCGCGGCTGCAGCTGCCGGTGCTTTGGGTGCCCGCCTTTCCGGCAGCAGCGGCTTGGCCACGGGTGCAGCCCCCCGGCCACGATGCGGCCAGCAGTCGAGCTTCCATGATGGGCCAAGGCAGGGAGTGGTCCGAGGTGCCCACCTGTGAACAGAGGGCACGCACCTCGAGAATCTCGCTGCCTCGGGTGGACACTCCATCCTGCGGGCCCCCCGAGGAGCTGACTCGCGTGCCATTTGAGGGATCCCAGAGCCATAATTTTATCCTTCAGGATTCCTGACGATGGGTTTGGGGAAGCGGGCATTGCGGACATGCTGTTCCTGCCACTGCTTCGTTCCCTGAGCTGTTGCCTGTCTAAACCCGGGGCTGGCAGCCTGCACACAGCGGAACTGTCGCTCCTGTGGACTGATGCATGCCATTTACATGTGCCGATTCTACGTAGCCGAGGTTTCATGGACTGGTTTTTCCCTTTGACCAAAACAGCTGAGCTCATCCAGCTGTTTACCTTTGTCCGTGGACTTCCGTGTCTTGGCTTTGCTGCTTGGGAGACCCACCCACCTATGCGGGCATTCACAGACCTCGAGGAGCCCTGTTCAGACCTTTGGGGTCAGGAGGCCCAGAACTGTTCTTGCTGCATCCTTCAAGCACTGTGGGGACAGATGCTGTACATTTTCTAGTTTGCAGGGAAAGAAAGAGAAGAGAAACGAGCAAGCAGATTTTATCTTTGCCTCTTTGTAGAGGGGATGGGAGGCCATCCAGCTTTAAAATGCTCTTCGTAGTTGCTCAGGAGAGGAAGGGGGGCTGTGAAAAGAACGATGTAAAAAGACATCTCTCGGTGTTTGTACATATATAGATATTTATTTATACATAAAGAAGGTTGACCCTTTGGATCTGTTCTTGGATGCACATTTGAGGGAGGTGAGAAATGTATAAATAATGTTATTGTGGGCATCTGAATTGGAGGAGCCTGCCTGGTGTTGCTGTTTGGCAGGGAGACCTTTCCCCGTCAACACTGTTGTTGGAATCAGTCGCTCTGGCTGACTCCTCCCACTGATTTCAGTGGAGTGGTTCTCAGGACGACTCAGCCTGGATCCGACCCATTGGGTCCTATTAGAACTGGGGAACTGAAGCTGGATTTAATCCTGGAGCCTAAAGCACTCCATGGTTCATTCACACATGAACATGGCCACTCATGCTTTGAGGACCAGCAAACTGTCCTGAGGCATCCGCTTGTGTAGCCGGCAAAGCCAGCTTGAAGACGGGGTAGCTGTATTTCTATTTTTCGAGAAGGTAAATGACACTCTGCAAACCGTGTGGATCCAGACAGGCCCAAGTCTTGCTGGGGAAGCTGTTCCAAGAGAGAACTTCCCCCTCTGCTATTCTCCCAATCCAGCATTCCTGTCCACCCCTGGAACTGCCTTTTGACCTGAACTCTAGGTCCCCTATTGGTATATTTCCACAAGATTAGGGATTCCCCAGTAATAAGTGCCCCCCCTTCTGGTGCCATGCGGGCATCACAGGTCAGCGCCCCTGAATTAAGAGAATGGCTGATCAGCTCAGACTAGGAACTCCCTGGCCCCAAAGGGTCCTTTTCCAGAGCTGAAACTCCTGCAGAACGTTGGAGGAAAGAACTGCCGGTATCCCCTTAGCTGCATGGGGGGGGTGCTTTTGGAGCCCAAATGGCACCCCCTTACCATGGATTGAGTGCAGGGACATGATCTGCTGGGACATTGCCCTACAGAAGCCCCTTGGCAAATAAACAAGAGCTGTGCTCAGGCATGTACGCCTGGCCAAAATGTTCAGGATGAAAAGCTGCTCAAAAGTATTTGAAGTGTCTGTAGGGTGCATCTCTCTCTCTCTCTCTTTCTCTCTCTCTCTGAAACTCTTCCATCCTGCAGGCAGAATTCCATTCCAGAGATGCTCTCTACAGTTTATATTGAAAATAGGTATGGAAAAATAGATATATAATAAAAATTTTTAGCTTCAAGGAATTCCAACCATTTGCAATGGGGAAAAATCTATAGGTACCACTAAACCAATTGGCGGTGGGGGTGGTGGTGGTTATTGCTTTGGAAATCCCAAAAGGTTAGATTGCTTCCCCCCCGAGAAGGGGCAGATTGCTCCCCACCCCCCACTGAGGCGCTACGGTCTGTCATATATTACGCAGAGTTGCAGTCATGGAAACATAGAAACCTCGAAAAAGAGCGAGTCAGAAGGGGTCTTCAGGGCCATCTAATCTGACCCCGGCTCCAGCCAGCTCCGTGCGCGTAACATCCAGCAGGTGAAACAAGATAGGGCAGGGAGAAGGTTGCATGCCCAAGAAGGCATTTCATGTGCTTCTCCCACAACTCTGGCGAAGAGGGCGGTCGCCATGGTCCAGCTGAAATGGCTTTCCCACGTGGGAGAGGGAGGCCACTGGAGCAGTGATGCGTCCACCCCCCCCCCCCCCGTGATGGGCATTTCCCCATTAAAATGCCCAACAAGAGCTTCCTGAGCACCCATGCGTGTGTTCGTGGAGAGAGCGCTTGCATGCGGCAAGGAGCCACCTGTGCGCATGATGCCAGATTGGCGCATGCTAAAGTTTCCATGTGTGTCTCCTAAGGGCACCCCCATTTGTGAAAGGGGAGTATGCACAGGGGAAGGGAAGGAATTTGATTTGGGGGGGTCCTTCCCTGGGAGTCCTCTTTGAAGGAGATCAGGAGAGTGGCTACCCAGAGAAGGGCCTTCTCTGTGGTGGCTCCCCGACTTTAGAACACGCTTCTCAGAGAGGTTTGCCTGGTGCCGACACTTGGCTCATTTTGGCGCCAGGCCAAAACCTTTTTATTTTCCCCATATTTTAAGACCTGATGTTGTTTTAAAATGGTTTTTTGTTTGTTACGGACATGGTGCTTTATTCTTGCATTACTGTCCTGAGACCCAGGTGCAGGATGGGATAGAAATGCTTTCAATAAATTAATAATAATAAACCCTCAGGCAGGAAGATGCAAGGGGTGGGGCAGCAGGAGGGAAAACACATGTGGGGAAAAACCAGTGCCTCTAGGGCAGGGGTCTCAAACTCCACTTACCTGGGGGCCGCTGGAAGTAGAGTCTGGGTGAGGCTGGGCTGCATCAAGCGGTGGTGGTGGGCCGCTCATCCGGAGGCCAGCCCGGGTGCCGCTGGCGCTTTGAAGCCGCAGGGCTCGCGGGCGGTGAGTTTGAGACCACTGCTTTAGGGGGATCTAGAGATATCGGGGATCCCCCTGCCTCATATTCCAAATGTGCTGCTGATAGCAGGGTGGTGGGGAAGGAAAACTCCCCAAGATTCGGGGCTCGGGACTAAGTTGCACTGCGATTCAGCCATATTTCAGGGGCCAGCAAACTCTCCCATCGCCCATCCCTTCTTCTCTCGCTCTGTCCTTTTCTGTACCCAGCAAACCGGATGCACTGCTCTGAATGTGGGGTGAGGTGGGACCCCAATCCTTCCAGCACTTGTCCCCCTGCTTCTCTTCCTCCTCCCCTTCCACGTCCTCCTTATTCCTCCTCCTCATCTCGCTTCTCATTCTCATATTTTTGCTCCTCGTCCTGCTTCTCTTGTGCGCCTGCGGCTTTTCCCGCCCTGCTCCTTCACTCCCTTTCCCTCCTCGTTCTCTTACACTTACAACGTCGAAAGCCGGACGCAGGATCTCTTGTGCTTCAGAGGGTTTGTCAGCCCCACATGAGCGGCTGGGGACGTGGCAAGAGAGATGACAGGAGATGACAAGCCGCTCTCCTGCTCTCAACCATTTCTTAATTTCTTCCTTGTGTGGCATTGCAGGAAGCCGGTGTGACAAAGTGGCACTGGAAGCAGGAACTGTGCCTCTGTGTGAGGCTGAGGATTGAAACCCAGGCGGGCCAATTTTTTTATCAGAGCAGAATCGCAAAGCAAGGGGGCACTTTGTTGTTGTTGTTAGTCATGAAGTCGTGTCCGACCCATCGCAACCCCACGGACAACCTTCCTCCAGGCCTTCCTGTCCTCCACTATCCCCCGGAGTCCAGCTAAGCTCACGCTCACTGCTTCAGTGACTCCATCCAGCCACCTCATCCTCTGCCGTCCCCTTCTGCTTTTGCCATCTATTGTTCCCAGCATCAGGCTCTTCTCCAGGGAGTCCTTCCTTCTCATTAGGTGGCCAAAGTATTTGAGGTTCACCTTCAGGATCTGGCCTTCTCAAGAGCAGTCAGGGTTGATCTCCTCTAGGACTGACTGGTTTGATCGCCTTGCAGTCCAAGGGACTTGCAGGCGTCTCCTCCAGCACCACAATTCAAAGGCCTCAATCCTTCGGTGCTCAGCCTTCCTTATGGTCCAGCTTTCACAGCCATACATTGCTGGGGAAACCATAGCCTTGACTATACGCACTTTTGTTGGCAGGGTGATGTCTCTGCTTTTTAGTATGCTGTCTAGATTTGCCAGGAGCTTTCCTCCCCAGGAGCAAGCGTCTTTTAATTTCTTGGCTGCAGTCCCCATCTGCGGTGATCTTGGAGCCCAGGAAAATAAAATCTGTCACTACCTCCATTTCTTCCCCATCTATTTGCCAGGAAGTGAGAGGACCAGCTGCCATGATCTTAGTTTTCTTAATGTTGAGTTTCAAGCCAACTTTTGCACTCTCCTCCTTCACCTGCATCAAGAGGCTCTTTAGTTCCTCTTCACTTTCTGCCATTAGAGTGGTATCATCTGCATATCTGAGGGGGCACTTAAGGCACTGCATATCCCCAAATGGCCACCTGCTAAATACCAAGCACTGCTGCATGTCAGACGAAGTCATAACACCATTGCATGTCACCAAATGATGAGTTCAAGTATCATCATCTGTCCCAGAAGAGATGGTGAATATTCGGTGAATAAATTATCCACATTTAACATCGAAGTATGGTGTATATAACCTGGGTAGGATAGGGAGAAACTACTTCCATTCAACCTGAATTTGGAAAGTATGTCGCTTCCATCATGCAAGTCTGATGTCCGTATTGCTTGGGGGCAGCAGGTGTTGGAGTCCCAAACATCTGGACAGTTGGACAACCCCCCCTTATAGTCACACGTTCTATATCGCATTGTCTGTCTCCTCTGTTGCCTAGAGGATCCTTGGCAAGCTGTTGCAAGACCTGTCTTCTAAGTCTGAACTCCCAGCACCAATGAA